CTTTCCCTTGCCACTGATTCCAGACAGAGGCAGGGGGAATATCCCTGTGAGAGCCATCTCTTTCCTCAGCAGAGAAGCTGAGCTCTTGCCCCTGATTATCTGTGCTATTTAAAAGCAAAAATTCCTGAGGAGCTTAAAAGATTTTGGAGTGAATTTTAATTTCTGTGAGGACAGGCCTGGCTTGAGCTGGACACACTGAATGAGGCAGAGAGAAAGTGCAGCTGTTTCCACACAGTTCAACAAAATGAACCTCAGCCCGGACCTTTATACATTTACCTTTTTGTCCCATGACATGCCAGAGATCTGCCACTTTGGAGCAGACTCGATTAATTGAGTCTGCTCTGCACGTGAGCTGATGTGCACTGTGCTGCACCGTGTGCAGTTGTAGATGTGGCGAAGTGCGCGTCAGCACGCAGAAAATGGTGGCGGTGCACTTTTGAACTAAAGTACCTCCATGGTATTTTAGTTCAAAAGCGCACCGCTGCCATTTTCTGCTCTCTGATGTGCATTTCACCACCTATACAACTGCATGTGTCGCAACACTGCGGCACTTATACATGTAATAAAGCTCTTTGAGTCCCTGCTATTCCAGCCCTGAGCTCCCCCCACAGCTCTGCCAGTGCTCCTTGCTCCTGCCCTGCAGCATCTTGAGGCCTTCCCTGATGGCAACAGCATGCCATTTTGGTTGAATTGAAGGGTAGGGACTAGGATGAGAGAGAACAAGCTTCCTCTTTGCTCTGGGGAGTGACCAGCCACTGGGCTCAAAACTATTTCCCTACTAAGAGCCAGCCTTGTGCAGCTCACTGGTACACTTTGAGCATGGGCACAAACAAGCAAGGCCTGCACCTACAAGGGCCTTGTCTCAAAGGCAATTATGTCTCTTGTTTGATTGTTAGGAGACAGTTCATTTTTACCACGGTCTTCCAGCACAGGACAAAGCTGTCATCGGCAGAAAAGACAGTCTTCACTTAACCTGGTTCTGCAGGGAACACTAGCCCCTTGTTGGAAATGCTGGGGCAACATGTGAGGGTTATGTACTGTTTTCAGTGAGAATAAGGGCTTTCCCTGCCCTAGCACTTTCCAGAGCAATCCACAGCCTCTGAGCACAAAAATGGGACAAGGTGAGGAAGTGACTTGTCCTCCAGCATCTATTGTAGGACTCCAGGAATGGGATACAGTTTTCTCATCAGTGCAGTACATCCACCTCTGAGGCAGGACACAGCTGCTACTGAGGAGCCTATCAGTTTGGGACAGGAAATGAAAGAAAACTTTGCATGTAGATGAAAAGGCAGAAGGAATTTAGGAAGGCAGAAGTGTAATTATTTTTTTTTGGAATTCAACCAGAGTATTGGTGCTAAAAACTGTCCTGTTTAGAGCCAGAGATTCCTTATCAAACAGAAGTGGCTAAGCTAAGAGGCATTCTGTTTTTTTCAGTCACTTGGAAGAAGACTGACACTAATGTGTTGGGGAAGGTACTTGAGAGAATCTCTAACATGAAGCAGAGGCTGACAAAACACCTTGAGGGGCAGCGTGCATTTCCCTACTCAAAGAAAGTCCCCTGTTCAGTGTCAGCAGACAGCAACTCTTCCTGTGATTGTTTTTCTAGATCACTGGCATTAGACAAGATTTTGGTGTTATACCTGTCTGAAAGGCAGCATGAGCTGCAACAGAGCACCAGCTAGGACAGGTCAGAAAGTTCACAGAGTCCAATTGGAACCAAAGGAGAAAGTGATATTGTCTTGCTACAGCCATAAATCAAGCCCACTACCCTGCCCCAGCTCTGCAGTGGCTGGCATACCACCCCTCTCCCAGCCCCAGGCACTGAATGAGCTCCCTAAGCCTCTGCTGCCTTCCAGGGGAGTGGAGGCTTTGAAAATGCGAAGTGCCACGTGGTGCTAAGTACAAACACATGGTTGTAGGACAGGGCCAGGAATGGGAAACGCTGTTGCCTCTTCCATATGCTTCTTTGTGACCCCACAGAGTTTTGATGATGGTGACTCTCGCCTGGACTCCAGTGAGTTCCTGAAGTTTGATGGAATGAAACAGCCATCAACATCACCACCTACATGGACCTATGTGGACCAGGAGACCAACAAGCTACTCAGGTGGGCTGGGGCAATAAGGTAAAAGCACAGGTGTGATGAGGGAGCTGACTGCTTGTAGCCCATCAAACACCCCAGGGAAGCATTACTCTACATGGCAAGAGAAGCCAAACAAATCCTTTCTGTTTCTCCAGTGCCTTTTATCTGCAGTCTGGGGTGGGGGAGAGGCTGTGAATAAACCAGCCTGTGTGCTGTGCACAGAACTCTTCCGCATCCGAGGCTTCTTGGGAGCTACCATTTTCTGGCATCTCTGGCTGGTTTTGGAACATGCAGTCCAAGCAAGTTGGGCTTTCCGTGTTTTAGTATGTGCTCAGTAAGAAGCATAATAACTGTCAGGGAAGGGCAGGTACATGCTGGTGTCCCAGGGACACAAGGGCTTGCTCTCAGCAGGGCACTGTGCACTGGGACACTAAGGACCTTGGTAACTCAGCACTGAGTAATGTCCTCAGTGTGCCTCACACCCAAAGGAAGGTCTGCAACTGACTGCAGGGGTAACACTGCCCTGGGGATGCACTTATGTGATGATGGGAACCTGTGTTTGCTGGTATGTTCCTCTAGGTACAGGAGTCTGCGGTGTAGGACCATGCGAGTGTGAATGTGGCTTGGAGAGTAGGAGCATGGACAGACATACATTTACAATGGTTTAAAGTTGGGAGTCAGGGGGAAGTTGCACTTACCAGTCAAGAGCTCATGTAAGCTGATCCAGTGCATTTCATCTGTCCACTCCTAAGCTTCAGTCAGTGAAGCTAAACCACAATAATAACCCCATGAATGCAATGGGGACAATTAACCCCTGAATGAAATGAGAAAATGATGGCAGCTCAACTTCACTTGCTATAGCTTAAGAGCAGACAGGGAACAGTTATTCCAGGTTTGGCTGCGTGGTGGCAAATCCTCCCCCTTTAAAGCGGGGTAAAAGTTCTGTCTGTCTGCGATCCAAGTGAACCACCCAGTAGCTTTGTCACAGTGGTTGGAGCCTGTGCCAGCAACATGGGGATCCTGAAACAGGCACAGGAGGTCTCAAACACTCCTCAGCCCTGCAGTGAATCTGATATTGAAGTAGTGTGGGTGAGGCTGAGCTGGAGATGTTTTTCTGGCTGCCATTTCCCATCAAGGGAGCAACCGGAGCTCTTTTCCCCTTGTCTGCACCTTCTGGCATCTCCTAAAATAGGCATTTTACAGGCCTGGCCTGGAGTCCCAGCACTGAGTGTTCAGGAAGAGCAGGAGCCCCAAGCAGATCGTGTCTGTTTGTTTCCATTCAGGGGACTCTGTATGGATGCCCTCATTGAGCTGTCTCATGAAAATGCCATCTGGAAACTCAACTTCAATGAGTTCCTCAAGTGCCTCAGCCCATCCTTCAACTTGCTGAAGAAAAGTACGGGCTTTGCTTTTGCACCAGGGGACAGACAGGCAACAGGAAGGGAGGCGGGGAGAGATTGGCTTTGAGTTGGGCACAGGGGACTAACACCAATGAGCTTTGTGCCTTCTGATCAGCCAATATACTTCACTCATGGCCCTGCAGCTCCCCTCAACTCTTTCACCCACTGGCTTTTCACACAGCTCTGCCAATGCCCCTTTCTCCTCATATACAGAATCCCCTGCTATTCCAGTCTTGGCCTGCCCGCTCCCTCTCTGGCAATATACTCCTAACTGCCCCTACTATTATGGGGAATGGGAGATAAGTTTCAAAGAGTCAGGGCAGGTGAGGAACATTAGTCTGGGAGATGAAGGCAAGTGTTCAGCAGTGAATGAGGAGGAGTGTGTTTTATAGATCATTTTGTAGGATCATCTGAGACCAAAGTCCAACCCTGTTCTGCCTTTCAGTTACCAGACACCCTCCCTGACACGCATCCCATAGCCTTTTCGACCCAACTTAAACTTGCAGTGTTCCTGAAAACTGCTCATGGTTCTAATGATTAAACATTCTCTAGTGGCTTATTGAATTGTCTCAATTGACAGTGCTCTCTCCATCACTCAGGTGGTACCAGATTCAAGTCCAAGGTTGGGACGGTTTTAGTGGCAGTGGCAGAGGTCCATGAGGCTGTACTTCTGGAGAGCCGTCTGCTGGAACTGTGTTGTCCCTTCTAGTGGGACGTTAGACAGTCACACTGATATTATCTGCTATCCCTTTCTGCACAGGACAACACTGAACTTCGCAAGCAGGTGAGTTGGTCCTCCAGTTCACTACCCAAATAACAACATTGGGAAAACCCTGAGGTGTTTTTTGTGGGAAAAATAAAGAATAATTTAAGAAGTGCTTGGATTGTTTCACTGTGGGGGATGATCACAGTTAATCATCAGAGAAGTTTTTGCCCACCCCTGTACAAAGGGGCTTCCAGAATTTCAGTTCTGGTATCAGCCTGATCAATCACAGCCCATACCTTTTCACCTGTGCCTCTTCCAGAATGCGCCCTTGAAAATGAAACCTATGAGGACAGAGCAGGGACCCAAGTGGAGTGTAACAGCTGTGTATGTGCCTGTGACAATTGGGTGTGCACTGCCATGACCTGTGACAGTAAGTATGACCTGCTCCAGACTGGGAAGATGAGAAGGGCTGCTTTCAGATAAAGGAAAGTTGTGACCTCTAGCTGGTTGGGTAGCAGTGGGCACCTGTATCTCTGATGTTTGTTCTCAGCTCTTCCTGGGACACACTGAGAAAGCTACTTGCCCTCTCTGTGTCTCCAGTTCCTGTGAAATTAGAACCATAATCCTGATAGGAGTGATGAGATCCTTTATGTTAGGACCCTATCATGACATCCTTAGAATAAAAGCTCTAGAGAAGGAAGACAACTTGTTGGAGTGCAGCATGGTTGACCATCCCTCTTTTATCCCCTGGGGTGTTTCTCCTGAATTCAGAATCCAGCTTTGACAGCAGTGCCACAAATTAAGTCCTAATGAACTTCTTCATTGCAGGCTTCTCATCTGGAGAATAGCCTTCTTTTAGAGGGAGAAGCCAATGGATCCCCCATATAAAACTCTGAAAGATGCTTTCTCCTCTTTACAACCAGCTGGGTTTGCCCTCCCAGTTCTACTCTGCATTCTTTTTGCCCCCTTCCTTAGTAACTCCGGTCTTTTCCTGAACATAGCCCCTGTCCTTTTTCAGACCTTGCCATCTCCTTCTGCAAACTATCAGCTCTGATCCACAAGGAGATACCAGCCCCCTTAGTAGATACAGGGACAGTAAAACAGAGAAAAGTATTTTTATTACTGTCAAATGATTTGCAACATTTATTTGGTAATTCAGAGTGGAGGCCTTTGAACTAAGCAGCTGTGAGTTTTTGTCCCTTCATTCAGAGGGAACACTGTTTCACCCAGGATGCTGTAGACACTACTATCTTATCAGATAGGCCCAGGGTGGTTGGGAGATTGGCTGTCCAGATCATTAGATGCAGCTTTTTGACCATGTGGCAACCAAGTGCTTTTAAGGTTCAGGGAAGCATGCAGTGGGGCAGCAATTCTTTTCGCTTCTGCCCCCATTGTAGCTAAGATTGGAGGATCTTGTTAAAGGAGTAAACAGATCTGAACAGCATTACATCAGCTAGATGCACCTCTCTTAAGCAGAATTCCTACTTTCATTAAGCATCAATTATTGCCTTATCACTGGCCTGAGAGATGCCAGAGGAAGCATGTTCTCCACTTTAGTGGACCGCATGCTGACTGCTATTATCTACAAAAACATTATTTACCCTGCCAAATAAGTTGGGGAAACAGGCAGAGTCTAATTCATCCTTTATACATTTAAGCTTATCCTGATTTTCTGCCCTTGCATTTGTAAGGAAAGAATGGGAAAGTGTCTGCTCAGGGCCAGCAGCCCCACGAAGACCTGACTGAGGAGGAGCTGGCCAGATACGTTCAGGAGCTGCAGAAGCACCAGGTTAGGAGTGGGTAACACTGATGGAAATGGTGCTGCGATGCAGATGCTCCTGGCAGCGCACTTGCAGTCTTATGGGATAATCAGGAGCCTTCCACCTGCCGGTAGCTTTCCCAGTACAACTGTAAGGCTTTCACCCAGGTCTTTCTTTCCCCAGGAGGTGGCTGAGAAGACCAAGCGAATGAACACCAAAGAGATGTAAGGGGCCTCTGTGCTAGAGGAGTCTGGGGTCTGCCCTGTCCCTCCATGCTGACCTCAATATGCACAAGTGTCTGCTACCATTGCCCAATCGCAGATATTTACATTGTATAGGGATGGGCTTTTTGTTTTGTAATGGAGGGAGGGGAGGGGAGTGGGAGTGCAGCCGGCACATTCAGGGAGTGCTCACTGCTAGGGGGTAGCAAGGCCAGGAGGAATTTACCACAGCCCATGTGATCTCCCTTATGGAAGGGATCTATGGATCTGTGTAGAGAATGGCCGTGGAGGGCAGTTGGTTGGGGTTTCTATGCTAAGAGGGGAATCTGGGGAAGGAGAGCGGGGACGGGGAGACGGGGTCTTTAACCTTATGCAATGTCTGCAACCTGCAGGCAAGCTCCAGTACAAGGTCTGAGGAACAGCATCCACCAGCACTGGCTGCAGCAGCAGGTGAGGGACAGCACTGTGACTGAGTGAATCTCCTGCGTAGCACTGTCATCCAGGGACCTTTGCCTTCCCTCACCCCATGGCCATCCACTCTCCCTTAACCTTTGTGCCTTACACCATCTCCCTCATCACATCTTCTGCTCTGTGTCCTTCCTCGAGCTCCAGGTCACCCCTGCTACTGTCCTTCCTCTGTGTAGGTCACCTCCTCCATCTGCTTCCCTGTATAGGGAAATGGTCTAAGAGAAAATCAGCACTTGGCTTCATAGCTAAAGTGAGAATCCCAGTGGAGGGGAGGAGGGTCTTTAACCCTGTCTCCCCTGGGGTCTGAGGCATCTGGAGCCCCTGGTGACATCCCACTGATAGCAATCCAATGTGCCTCTTGCCTTCAGCCTGCCAGTCCCCAGTGCAGTGTGGGCTCCAAAGTGGCACTGTTCCCTTTGACCTCACCTCACCCTCCCCTTCCTAAAGGTGCTACAGTATTTCTTCTTATTGCACTTGCAGGCAGACTCCATCTTTTTTATTACTTTATTTTCTATGGTAGCAATTCTGCTTTTGTATCTTGTAGCTCTAGATCTTTCAAGGAAATACGAGATGCTTTTTGTTAATGAAAATGCTGTAGCTTCCACACATGGTTTGTATTGAAGTGTACCCAGCAAGTATAATCAATACAGCTAGATTCTATTTCCCAGCAGCCCCTGCCCATGTCACTGCAGCCAGTTTCCATGGAGATATCAGCAGTGGCCAGGGTTTCCATGGAGACCAGCCCAAGCAGCACTGGCAGAGCTCATGGGTGGGCTGGGAGCTGCCCCATAGTTGGGGCTGGGATTTTGCGGGGGTGACAGCGTGGTCCGAAGCCAGTTCAGACCTGCAGTCTGCTGCCTGCATGCCCCTGCCCAGGGCATGCAGTCACCAGATCACAGCTCTGCCCCACACTGTCACTGACACAAAATCCTGGCCCTGGAGAAGCTCCCCACCCACCCACGTGCCTTGCCAGTGCTGCTTTGGTCAATCTCTGTGGAAATTCTGGCTCCACACTGTCATGGCCTCACCGCTCTTGGGGTCTCCATAGAAACTGGCTGCAGCAATGAGGGCAGGGGCTGCTAGGAAATACAGCCCACTGAGGGCCAGATCCGGCCCATGGACTGGACTTTACCCGCCCCTGCTCTAGAGTGACTGTGCCAGCTTTGTGTCACTGCACAAGGTCTCTGTAATGTATGTGGATGGGACTGAGAGCTGTGCTAGGTAAGGGCCAGAGGGATGTCCCAGTAGGAAAGTAACATCAGAAGGGGAGCTTTGACAGCACACTGTTAGCTGAAGCCTTAGATAAAGGAGTGGTGTTCTCTCGCTGTACTCCCCAGGCTGAGGGAAGGGACCCCTGTGGGAGCCCAAGGCCTGTCTGTCCAGGTCTCTGACCATAATGATTCCCTTTCCTGGATCATTTTCTTCCAACTGCTTTCTGTTAGCATTGCCCCAGTTATAAACATGATACTATGTTGGCAACACCCTTGTGCTGGGTCCCACAGGGCCTGCTGTGTTCAAGGTACACGCCCACACACCCCACTGCCATGTACTCATGTCTCTGAAGCACATTCTAGACGGTCACACACAGGCTGAGTCCAGATGTTGTCTTGCAGCTTTAGTTTCCACCACCCACCCTCCTCCTGCCTAATGTCAGCAATTGTCACTGCCTGTCTTTCAGTTTCTAGTGCTTATTCAGGGAGTGCAAAGCATCAGCAGAAGTTTGTTCTTCTTGCATAAAGGTCAACAAGACTTCTGCCCCCAACTTCCCCATATTCGAAGGAGTTGGCTGACAGAGAAAAGGAAGAGGCAGTACCCAGTGAACAGAGAGAAAAAAGGCAGTTTAGAACCCAGTACAGTGAGCAGCCAGCCCCTTTCATAGTTGCTTTTGTCTTGCTATCACCACATTCTCTGCAGCCTGTGGATATCAGAGCACGGGCTCTGTTCTCAGTGATGCCCACGTAAATCCAGAGACAAGGATTTAGTGCAGAGTGGGAGAGGGGGACCTGCCCCTCAGAATACACAGGCTTTACAGAAATAAAGCAAGGGGGTGAGCCACCTTTCTTCCTCAGTGTAAATCCAAAGTAGGATCAGTGGATATACATCCATGTTGTACTAACATGCGTGGAAGGAGAACCAACCTCTAGAGTTTTGGGCAATCTTCCAGATCAAGAAAAGGGCAGTGCTGCTGCACAAGTTATGTAATTTTGGTTTCCTCTTCACCCTTTTCAGGGCAAGAAACACTAGTAAAATGGGAGCTGTTTTTCAAAATCCCCTTCCTCTTCCCAAGTCCCCCACAGATGGGGAACAAGCTTGTGCATGGGGTTTGGAGTTGCTGGAGCATTCCTTTGGACTCTTTGCCTTATTTGATTATAGTCTAAAACCATGCAAGTCCCTTGTGGCTCCTGGCTTGTTCCTTCCAGCCTGTTAAAGTGCCTTAGAGAAAATGCAATGCCATGCCTTAAAGCTGGAGTGTTCATTGGTGGGAGGACACAGCATATTCCCCAGCCAGGTAGATCTCTAAGTGGGAGGGGTCAACCAAAGAATTAATTCTGTGCGGTTAGGGATGACTAAACTACAGCTGGAGGTTTTCATTTAGCTTCTCTGAAACCACCCTGTCTTCCCTGAATGCACCTCTTGTATTCTATTTATCTTGTGTCCCTCCTAACTCTCTGAAAGGCTTCCTGCATCTGATGTAACTAACAACAAATTATCAGCATTTTTGTCTTGAGTAAGAGGAGCATTTTGTCTCCTCAAATTTGTTTGCCCTTCCTTATGGTTACACTTAACTTGCCAGAGGCTGTCTACCTTTCTGTGTTCCTCATTTAGGCATGGGTTCCATTCTTTGAATGATGTTTTATTGGGTCTAGTGGCCATCCATTGTGAAACACACTTGTTCCTGGAACTTGCTAAGCAAACACAGTCCTCTACAAGCAGGTGGTTTTGGAGACAGAATAAATGAGGTACAAGCTGTTCCTGAGTGACCCAGCTAACTCCCACACTTCCCCTGTGTGCCAGGGGGAGGTGTGGGCTTGGAGTCCCTCATTAAAAAATGCGACTAAGCGAAATGATGTTAAGTGAATCCAACTACATCACAGTAGTTACCTAGCAGGCAGCAGCCAAACAACATTATAACAGAACATTGCATGACTTTAAATGAGTATGTCCTCTAATAGATCAGCAACATAATAATGAACCAATGTTAACTGGGACAATGTTAACTGAGGAGTACCTGTATAGTATGTATAGTATAGTATGGCCACTATTCCCTTGAACTAGCTTCATTTTGAACACTGATGCAGACAAAGCTGAGAGCTACTACATATGTTTGAGTATGTCAAAGTCACACCTGAAATGAAAGCTCATGAGCTATAAGTTAAGTTGTACTATGCACACGGTACATGTGCCAGGCAAGGAGCTGAGATCTAACAGCCCGCATAGGACTCTGATATGAGGGGCTTTCTGGATTTGCATACATTACTTGGGATGGGGTTTGAGTTAACCTCGCCAGGACTCTCCAGTCCTGGGATTGGATTATCTCCAAGGGAGGCTATGTTGAGATAGTATGCTAAAGTAACTGCTGGCCTCATCCTGCTGCTGCTGGAATGAAGGTGTCCATGCGGCCCTGGCACTGCTGTATCTGCATGGGTTTGAACTCATACCTTCATATAAGGCTCATCACCTTTTCCTATTGTTCCAGACCCTCCAAGGCCCAGTCCTGCTAACTGTCCCAGAATAGGCTCTGGGCTCACTCAGGAACAGCCCCCACTAGGAGCTTCAGAACTAGCTGTTCCTAGAGGGTTGTGTTTGCACAGTGAGTTCCAGGAACAGCCCTGTCTTTCACAATGTAATACATGAAATGCCACAGAACAAGGTGCAAGGGTCACTTCTTTGGGGTACAATTTCATGTACTCAGTGATTCACTTTAGTAGGAGAGTGTGAAGAGAATGTCTGGTACAGGAGCAGGGACCATTGAAGGAGAAAGGCCAATGCAGGATGGTGCTAGGAAGGAAGCCATTGCAAGGGGGAAGGTCAGTAAAGGAAAAGTAAGAGGAAGGGGTCAATATGAGAGATTGAGGGGGTGGGCAGTATAGGGGGTGGGGTCAATGAAAGAAGATTCCTGTCATATACTTTGCTTCCTAGAACCATGTCCTATCTTCTCTTTAGCCCTCACAGCCAGTGAGGATACTAAGTTCAGCATCTTTCTACCACTCTAACAAAGGCATCCTCCTGCTCCAGGCTGAAACTGAAACCACGTGGGCCTGCATCATCCTGGCATCTCTCTGGAGTGAGTGGCCTTTTCCCTTTACTGCTTATTTTAGTGTCCTGCATGCCCCTGTGCCATTCAGTATCCCAGAGCCCATCATCCTTAGGATGCTTATGTCCTGGGATCCTGGGTTCTTCCCCCAGCTCTGCGAGAGGATTGGGTTCAAGTAATTTGGAGTGGAGAGAATGGGGAGTGGGCAGTGACCCAAGCTAATTGATTGTAATCCCTTGTTCAGGAACAAGAGTTAGGTGTAGAGTAGAGCAAAGGGCTGGGAT